AGGAAGCAGTTGTTTCCCAGGAGATAGTTTTAGCTTGTTTGAAAAAGCAAGGAAATGAAAGCAATTGCCTCATGCATTTGTTCATACATCTAAGTACTTCCCCTACCCCAAACCTGCAAACTTACTGGCAGTTTTCAATTAAAGTTGACCGAAGTCTCAAAATCAGTAAGTCATTCTAAGAGTCTTGAAACGATAGCTGGAAAAAATAGCAAAACCACAAAACATAAAATTCCCTGGAAGGAGAGTGATGTGCTATTACTCCATTATATGCTGTTTGTCAACAGGGGACAGTCTGGTCTCCACGTGGTGGGTTGGGTGGCTCTAGACTAACAAGGGCTCCTGCTGACTCTCCCATGTGGGAAAAATAGGCTGCTTTTCTCCTTTTCCCCTTCAGGCCAGCTATCTTCCTGGCTGTTTCTCAAATCTTTAAAAGACACTTCAAATGTTATAATACCTTTGTGCTTTCATTTCCAATGTCCCAACAGTTTCATTTTTGCTTCCTCTTCTTCCTACAGCTCCGGACAGGCTAACTTTTCATGCCAGCATGCCCGCAAGGCCCCCCCTTGCTACAGCACATATATTGCAGACCATCTACTTGGAATATATTCTGAAAGCTGCCATTTAGAAAACCTAATTTGTCCCTTTAGTCCTATGAAGACTTGAAGCCCTTTAGATCTTCACAAACAGAAAGCTGAGCAATGTACGGAGAGGGCAGCCATCCTCTCTCAGGGAAGATGTTGGGTTTCCAGATCAAAGCGTCCCTCTTCAGAGGCCTCTGGCCTGGGAAATAGGGCTGCACCCCCTGGGAGATACTTATCAAGTATAGTTTATTATCAGAGGTAAATGTAGCTGATTCCTTAATGTTCCTTAGCATAAAACCTAGCAAAATTTTGAAGAAGTCAGGGACCAGAATAGACTGTCAGGAGTTTCCCTGTCCGAAGGCTCAGGTCTGAAACCCAGCGCACGCAGCTTTGTACAACATGGCAGGCCAGGAACTGGGTATTTTCCCTCCGCTTCATTTATATCCAAATTGTAACGGAAAGCCAAGCAGAATTAAATTCAATTTACAGTAGTGGCTTAGATTTTGACATGATGCCATGTTTTTTTCAGCTGACAGGGAAACCACGTTATCTTCTAAACTTACTACCTTGGGGTAAGACAGAACACGTCACAAGGCTGGCCGGCTCGCGGTGACAGGAGCCATCTCCTGCCTGGCCTCAGTCTCCAGGTTGTAACATCTGCGAACCCATTACTTGCAACCTGGCTTCGATTTTATCCTGTGGGGTTTCCCCAGAGGACGAAGCCAGTGGTCCCAAACTCACAGGTGGACAAACTTCTCCAAACCCACAGGAAAGATCCATCTTTCAGTTATTAAACGTGATCTGAATTTTTTATCAGCTCACCTACATGTGAGCACAGTAAGGAATTTTGTGTGTATTTTTGTTGCCAAAAGTCGTGAGACCACAAGGATCACAATGTTCCTCCTTGCTTACAGTCACGATGGATCGCATCTACTGTCTGTCAAAGTCTTGTTGACACGTATTTATCCTGACAGTTTGGTCTAAAGTTTCTACTTCATGTGTACAAACAAACAGCAGCAAGAGATCCCTTCAGAGATTTACAATGATGGCCAGTTTATTTGCACCCCGGGGGGCATCATTCGGGGGTAGATTCCTACAAGTAGCACATTCAGTTATTTCCATCTTCCCATGACACCAGTTTGCTGCTTCTGCCAGCCCTCTGAAGTGTTCTTTCCTAAGGCAGTAGGAGGGGGAAGACAGATAGGGAGGGGGACAGAAACACAGAAATTACTCAAATGTCATCCTCTTCCTGCTTTTCTCCCCAATTCTTTCAGAGAAGATAACACTTCCATACTGTAGACAATATTTCTTCATATATTATTTCTATAGGTTCTGTCTTAAAATGGGCCAGACAGCATATGAAGAGAATTTGGTTCCCAAATCTTTCGCCACTTTGCCTCTACTATGTGGAGCCACAAGGAAACTGCATTTTCCTAGAAACAATGCGAGAATAGAAGATTACAAGAAAAATTACTGTTGGGGTATCCTCTTTAATTCCCTCCAGATTTATACAATCACTTCAGTGAGAATAAAACCAAAAGCAAAGGTATATCACTAAAAGGAAAATTTAGTGACTATATGTATTAGTACACTTTGGGGAACATGCACAAAGAACGTACGTGTATCTCCAAAAATGGTTATCGTACGAAATCTTTTGTCCCAACTCAGACCCCTCTTTTCAGGAATTATTCTTTAATCAAAACAGAAACAGCTGTGTTTCATACCTCCCAGTCAACGCATATTGCTGGAAAAATCAACAGATACCTGTACAGAAAAACAGGCAGCCCAATATCTGAAGGTGCCAGAACAGAGACTCTGCAGATGATAGAAGCTGGAATAGCCAGGGGTTTCCAAATTGCACACAGGTGGCTCGGAGGGCTAACAGAATGGCTTCTGAGTTAGCGATAAAATCCCTCTTTCAAGCATCACGGGCAAACATCAACTTTCTGATGTATCATCTCCTGAAGCATCTGTATCTCTGGGAATCCAGGGCTCTCCTGCAGTCGTCTCTGCAGAGCAGCTGCCCTCCCGCCCAGTCTGTTTCCATTCATATACAGAATAGACAGGATAGGAAAAGAGCATTGCAATGGATTTTGTGGACTGTAAAAGATGTTATTTAGAATTCCCTCACTTCATGTACTGTATAAAAACAAGTGCCCACAATTTTGTACGTCAGACAATTCCTTTAGGATACAAAATCCTGATTTGGGATCCTATCTGAGGGCTCCTAATTTTGAATAAACATTCTTATTTTCTCTTATTCACTCTTGCAGGTATGGAACGTGACTGTTTCAGTTTTTTTCTTTGCAGAAATATAACTAAATAAAGCATCCAGGGAAGTAAAATGTAAATAGCAGGAGATTTCAACGGGAATTGCTCAGACAAATCCGCATTTTTTCAAATGGTAGCATGTAAAATTATGCAATTTTCTGTAACCGATTTGGTTGCAGTACATAAAGTCCTGTAACATCATGGGAACAGCTTCTGCCAGAGTTGTTTCATGCTTTTTTCCACTTTGAATTCTTAATTACACGGTGAATCGGTTGTGATTTTTACTGCTAGTGTAAACAGAACAAACAGTGAAATTTTAAAACCACATTTATTTTTAATACAAAATCTGTTGCACTATTACAGAAGTGAGCCTGTATGTTTACCCCCACATGCACAGATAATTCAGCATCTACAATTAAATAAGAGTAAAATTATATTTCTCTTTTACCAAAACCACTGGCAAATCCTATTAAGAAATGTTCTCTTTGTGCTTTGTAATCAATGTTTGTATAATTCTGTTCTTATTTCGGTTCCCGTTAAGAAAATTGATCAATGGAAAGCTCAAAGGTGCGAAAGAAGCTTATTACAGCTAGCTTACATTTGTGATTACTTCAGTTGTGCTTTACCTACAATATATACACGAAAGCTGCGAGGTGTACTACGGTCTAGTGCAATGCACTGGCAAAAGCTCTGAATGGTTCAATTAGGAATCTGCAGTAAATAAGCAGAACAGTTCACTAATTCGTTTTCACAGCAAAAAAAAAATAAAAAAAAATTAAGTAGATGCTTTAAAATACCATGCACACCATTGGCTATAGTACTTCTTACACAGTACAACATAAGCTTTCTTGTTTTATTTGTCTGTAACACCTAGAAGCATATAGCATCTACGCTTTAAGTGTATTTACAAATTCAACAAAATATCTACATATAAAAAGCTTACTTAAAATTAAACTTGATGCAAGTTATGAAAAACCAATTTATTGGCAAATGAAACTGAGCATTCCTTCAACCATAGGTTGTTATAAAAATTTATATTTGGAGGTAAACATTTGATTGATATAGTATGCGAGAAAATAATTTTGTAACCAATAATGGTAATCCTTTACCACTAAACCGTATTAGCACTTGTCAGATTGAATTCTGTGGTTCCTAGCGGTAACCCCCATACTGCTTCAGGGTGTAGGTAATTACAAAGCTGCCACGCTGATCAGGCCGGGACACAGAGGGAAATGCATTCTCGCTGGTGTAGTCGGCTGGCTTGGTTTTTTAACAATTTATTTTACAAGAGCTTATACCTTGCTGTGTTAGTAAATAATTTAATTCTGGTTGTGTTTTGTTTTCTTTTTTTTAATTCTTCTAAGGCCATGAAAACATGTTGTGCTGTAACTGTCTAGAAAGCATTTATTTTCTTTTTAAAGGAAAAAAAATCATACTCTTGTGTAATTTAAAATATTTAAAACCTTCCATTTTTAGCACAACAGTTTCATAACACTTTTTTTGTTCTTCACATTTTTACTTTATTTGGCAATGATAGTAGTCCGCTAATCACAGTTTACTGCACCAACTGATTTAGTAGTACAGTGCATTATGGAATGCATATTGTATAAAGGCACTGAATGTATTTTGCCCTGTGTTTTCTGGAATATTTTATCTCATTTTAAAGTTTTTCTTTCAGTGACTGTACAAATTCCAAAATGCATTGCAATGCGTATCTTTTATGCCCTAAAATCAATCCAATGTGTTTTGATGTAAAAATAGAACACTGTACTGCTGTAATACTTGATAGATTAAAAAGGCTATAAAGTAATAGGAGCAAAGAGCAGATAATAGGGTCTCATTAAGCATCAGCAAATGCAAGTGTCATACTTAAATCATTTAGCAATTATATACTGTACATACTGTTCCTAACTGTCTTGCAAAAAGACATATGATAGCTAGACATTAAGTCACCAATTTCACAACAATGTCCACAAAGACATTGAAGTTCTATATAATACTACTATAACACTCCGACAATGAAAACGGAATTCATACCCAGGGATTCAGCTGAGGACTGCATAACAAATTGTCAAACCATGTTTTTATAGTGTACACGAGATTATCTGTGAATTGTGTAGCAGTTTTCTTCCATGCATTATACTGTATTTTCAACAGGAAACAAAATTATAAATCGATGTTATTGTTTGTGTCAGTTCCTTCTAAAAAAAAAAAAAAGTAAAAATACCCAAGTTTTCAAAAAAATTTGAATTTTGTATTTTGATTCATACTAACATACCACTTAATGTGTCATTATGCTGTATAATTGTATTGACCTGCATATTCTCATAGCATAAACGTCTTGCGGTGAGGAGCTCCATTACCTGCATGTTCATAGTACGAGAAGGAGGATGCACAAGTGCTTTAAACAAACTGAAGATACAAGCGGATCAAGTTCTGTGGTTACACAAATGAATTCATGGCATTTACAGGAGAAGGAGCCTCAGAGCTTTCATTTCCTTCGGCAGGTTCTTTCTCTTTTTTACCGCTATATTGTCCAATAAAGGAGCCATCCTCATTGAACTGACCATTGACACCTTCTCCATAGTCAACTAAACTATCATCACTGTCTTCTTTTTTCACAGTTCTGTCTGAAGGTGTCCGGCTTCCTTTTTTTAGAGGTTTATGGTCCTCCGCATCACTGGAGACACAAACAAACAAACAAAAGGAATTAACTGATGTATTATATATTAAGACAAAATCAGCCATGCATGCAGAGTTTATAAAAAGCACATGTGCAGACCTATAATCCTTTAGTAAACCCACATCACATTGTAGAGACAGATCAATATGATGCAGTTGACATGAATACATGGTGTAGGAATGGTTTAAACAGAGAATGTCTTCAGTGGAGGGAAGGGGTTTTGAGGTTTCTTTCTTTTTTTTTTTTCTTTTTTTTTTCTTTTTTTTTTCCCCCATCGTGCATGACTTTTCAATGATAAGACTTGTGCCCTTGGCTTGGAAGCAATTTAGATGCAACTGCAAGCATTAAAAAGTGGGTTGTAAAGTTATAAAAAAAATAATTTATTTGTTCTCCAAAGTAACAAGCTTATGATGTGCTGTGAAGTTAGTCTGTTAAACTTAATTTCTTTGACTCCTTGAACATGAATGAAGAATGAATTTGGTTAAATGAAATATACTGATTTTCTTTACTAGTATAAAGAAAATAAAAGTGCTGCATTTCAAATAATTTGTTACATAATGCAGGCCAGACTTGCAATTTTCAACCTTACCTTTCAAGAGACCTACATATTCCATTAAAAGGGTGCAGAAGAAACAAATGAAAATAGCCTAAGAAGAAAAGCAAAGTCCATATCCTGATAGTGATCAGTATTTTATCAGTAATAATTTGCTCTTAAAATTGCTAAAACATTTACTCTATACAGGTAAAGCGACAATTTAGCTTACAGTAGATACCATTTGTTGAGCAGTTAAGAGCATGCTTAGTTTTTGTCGTTACTTATCAGATCAGTCTCCTTATCTTAATCCATAAGTGATAACATGTTCTGACAATGACGATGGTGATTTGGAGGACAACAGAAAAGGAAAGGAAAGAAAGGCAGGGAGGAGAGATCCCTGTATGAAAGTACTGTGGGCTTTCCCTTGTCACTGGAAAAGCTGCAGCACCACCAGCATCATCCCCAAATAAATCTGCAGCTGTGGTAAGCTTGTGTTTCATGAAATAGATGCAGTTGGGCTCTTTTCAGACTCCTTTATACTGCACTTTAGTTTCCAGAGGAAGATTTCAGCAGCAGCTCTAAAGCATTTCCAATTAAACCCCACTCTTGCCAGCTGCACTTTTGAGTGCAATTATTTACCTTAAGCAGAACATGTGGCTTTCTTTGCATATAGGGTACAAAAGAGTAAGTGATTTTTGTTTTTTATTTAAAGACTCCGCACTTATGGAAAATATAAAGAAACAAGTATAGAATACCAAGGAAATAAAAATATATTTACAATATCCGCAATATTAGGCTGAATATATATTCAGCAAATTATTTTACCTGTGTAATTCCTAAAATCAAATACCTTAGTTCTTCCAATAATTATATTTTCTATTTTTCTTCCTAATGAATATCTTTGAACACCCAGAGAAAACACATATATATATATAGCACATACAAGGTCACACAGATTATATTGTTAGCTAACAAATGTTGAGAAACATTTCACTATTGCTAGAAAACCATTACACCAATTTTCCAACAAGCTGCTTCTCCTCATCTCATCACCTTTTTTGGAAGACTCTGAGTTATCACATTCTAAAAGAAGTACACCTCTAATATACATATACTTACAGAAAAAGCATATCAGAGATTTTATTCTTCTATGCATACACAAGGAAGAAGTGGTAGGAATATCTATCTTATTAACAAGCAAGAACACCTTTGTGTTTAAAATACACAAAGGCAAAAACTCTAAACTTGACTGTATCGGTCTTGACTTTGTTTTTAGTTATTGCTGTGTACATGGCATGAGGATAAAGATCATATTGTTGATCTTCTGTGCTCACTGATACCGCAAACATATAGGCTAGTAACATTTAAAAGAATGCTACTCCAAAATGTCAAGCATCCAGCAGCAAAGTGCAAACGTTTATAACGCTGCAAACAAGCAGATTACAGAGACATTAGTGAAGAGAGCTCATTTTGGAAGGACCCTATATTTAAAAGGTTACAGATGGAATTGAGTATTTAAAAATCACATGCAATGCAGTTTCTCCATTGCCCTCATCAGAGGGCATCACAGTCATTGCAACAGATTATGCAAATCAAACAAAGACCACACCCTCACTTTGAAGTAGTACCAGGTCCTACTCCTGAAGAAGAAGGACCTGCAGTGTTTAATGCTTTCTGGGTAACAGCTTTTAGTAAAGAACTTTGCACATATGGTTTGCTATTTAATTGTAGATGAGCAGCTTCATAATTCTTTATGCCGTAATATGTAGGAATGAAAATAAATTAAAATTGCATTCGTACCATATTTCAACAGGTCAATATTCTAAAATGTGACCCTATCCAGTGTAATACACAAGGCTGGAATATACACTAAACAAATAATACACCATCACTGTATTCAAAATATCCACATTTTTGTGTTTAATCCAATATAAAGCTCAATTTTCATTTATAACTTAGATAAATCTGGGTATGGGAACTTCTGCTCTTAAAGTTTTCACGTTTGCATTTTTGAAAACAAAGTTTATTTATAAGCCAAACAACAAAGAAATACTTACACAGTTGGTTGCATTGTGTCTGTGATTTTTCTGTATTTTAGTAAGGATGCAGATTCTACTGTCTGTATAATTAAAAACAAACAAACCTGCAGGTTTACCCAGGAGTGTACCTGCACAGAGATGGGCACTGGGGTAAAAGTACATGCAAAAATCAAATCTGAATCTGGGGATTCCCTCCCTTTTTGCACTATAAAAGTCCAGAAACAAGTTCTGCCAAGACTCTGGCAGTGGAAGAAGATGTGGGATTATCCAGGGACCTTTCCACTCCTTGTTCAGAGCAAAAAGGAAATAAAGGCCGTGGTACCACTTATTCTTTATCAAAACTCTTGTATTAGGTGAATACAATGTTTTGAGTGGAAGGGAAAGAAACTGAGGAATAAAAAGCAAAACAACAAGCAGGAGAGAGAGAAAAAAAGTGAAGACATCAATGTTTTGGACAGTGCTTTTGTAACCCTGTGGGTGCAAAACAAAGAAGGGACCCTGGTGCTCTGGGGAAATGAATGTATTTTCTTTTGCCACCAAGAAGCAAACGGCAAAAGCCACTGAATTGTATTATGAATATGGATGCCCAAAGAGCTACAGAACACTTTAGGCTGCACAATATATACTACTACATTGAAAAAACCATGTTAAAGCTATAAATTTTGATACAGTATCTGCAAGATTTGCTGATCTTGCTTACAGTTGTTCATTAAACTATTCCAAAATGCAACCAAGATAGATCATAATTTATTTTAGTTTTTGTGATTTTGCTTGCTGCCTTTTATACTAACCTACTGTAGTATCTTGAAATGAAAAATAAAGTACAAGTTGGGTTGTTTAAAATTACAGTGGAAAACCAAAGAAGTTTTTGAAATGTGTCATGTGTGCAGTGCATACAATTAAAGACAGTAAGTACCGGGAGGGAACAAAACAAGAGGTGAGAACGGGTATGAATTTTATATTTAGATCAGACAGCCATGAAAAATAAGTCTAGAGATACTTTTACTATTTGTTGTCTTACAAATAAATTCCATACTAGTAGTTTTTTAGGGATGAAAGTTGCTCAGTGAAGACTGGTACGTACCAGGCATTTTAATAAACACTGAAATATACCACACACATTTCTTGCCCTTTTAGTAAGAACAGTTTAATATTAAAGCATACTCTAAAAGCATGATTTAAATATTTTTCATAAACAATTGCTAATATATGAATACATGTTTCTTTTTCTTCCTAGTTTTATGAAACACATAGCAAACTTGCAGGTAATGATTAAGAGATATAAAGAAGTACGGAGGTGACAATAACATGTGTAAGTGCAAAGTACAAACTTATTTTTGTAAAAAAAGTACTTCCATTTCACAAGCTCATCAGTTATTTAAAGAAATATGTACCTTGAAATCTCCTTTCTTCTTTCAACTTTTCAATTTTTCTTCCTTAGATATGGGTACATGCAGCAACCAGTCAGAATGGGGAAGACAGTTTAACGATGCCTCTACAGTCCAGCAGGCAACTAGCTCCCACTAAACTTTGCCACATTCATGGACATGCAAAAAGACTCAATATATGGTTAGCAATATACTACTTTTCCTTATAACACAACTGTCAGATGAAAGGCAACATAAAACAAACAAAATGGGTAAAGCATTCTGGGCTATTGGACACATAAAGAGGATGCAGAAGATGAAAACTGTTGGCAGTAAATTTCCTTTTTCTGCACCCTCAGGTCAACAGCCCAGAAATGTTTAGGTATAAGCAGTCACGTAAAGCCACAGAAGTACCATACACTATGGCTTCCCTGCACGCTCCAGGAGAACCTCTGCCCCAATACCTAACAGATTTCTGCTCTGCTCCTACATTGACAGGACTGTGCAGATGAAAAATGCCTTCCCCATACGTTTATGCACCTGTATCAATCCAGACTTCAAAACATTTTACTACTTCTAATCTAGCTAAAACATAAGCATATCTATATTTGTTTTCTGAGTAGTTTTTCTTTAGCATCTCTGTAATACTCGATCTTCAACGCTGGCAGAAGCTGGAAAAACCGGGAGATTAAGCTCTGGCTTTAAATGGCAATGGGTTGAAAAAAACTGTTGTTAGTCGAAGAACCTGACTCACTCCTACTGAAAATTTTAAAGAAAAATCTGCTTGAGAGAAATTCAATCAAACTTTCCACCTTTGCTATTTCTGGTGGAAAATACACAAAGGGAAATCAAAGCACTGACTTAAAAAGTAGTGACACAGATGTTCAAGAATTAAAATAAGAACCATCAAAGAAAGCATGTGCGCGTAAATGAGGACACAATAAGCCCACTGCCAAATCCAGCTGGACTATTCAGAGACAAGAATTCTTCAGGCAGTCCATTGACATAATCACTTGCACTAGAAGGGACTGAGCTTAGATTTACAGTGCTGAGGCACAAATCGTTGTTAAGTCCCCTTGGAAACACACCTAAGCTGCAATAAAACTCTAATAACTGCAAGAGAAAAAAATACTACTGTAGTTACAAACTATATTTTCATTGTTAATCAACCCAGAACAAGAAGGAAGAGTAATAAAAATAGCAATTTCAATACTCTCCACCAACCATTTCCAGAAAGTCTCTCATGGCATATGCAAGAATTTCTAGGAAAAATATTGTGTGTGTCAAAATGTTGAAGAGGCAAAATAATTCAAAAAATGTGTAAACATTCTGCATTGCCACACTAGTAGTCCTACTACTGTAGTTGCCTTGTCCTGTTTGAGCTTCCTAAGAACATTTTGTAGACTGCAAGGAGACGCTAGACTTTCATCCTTCCTGTGAAATTAACTAAGAAATGCATGCTTGCAGTCTCTCCCTACCCATGAATCCACAGGTCTGTAGATGCCATAACTTCTTAATTTCTCCGGATTTAAGGCCAAGGATGGAAATTTAGGCTGATTTATATACCTACACTGACTTGAACAGGAGCTCTAGATAGTCTTTAATTTTAATTGAAATAAACATACATTTGTGGTACTTCTTGTATTTCTTGAAGTTTCTTGGTGTAAGCATTGACTGTCCACAATTTACTACCTCAGTCTTCTACAACTCAGGAAACCACTGGGATTGTAGTGCAATCAGTTTGCTACAGAGGCACCATTTTCCCTTATTATGTAGAGGTGCAGGTATGCCTCCAGTCACAGGAACACAATGTACCCGGTCATTCTGTGGTTCCCGAAACACATGTGTTTCCTAAAGTATTATTTCCTTCTTTAGATTGATATGGCAGAAAATCCGATGTTGGTGAGTTCTGCAGAAAGTATGCTCTTAGATGAAGTTGAAGAGAGCGAAACTTCAAACAAATCCAAGCCATCCCAAGAACACCGGGAAGCCTAGAAATCTAATGTGACAAAAACCTCCCCTAAAACTGAGAGCTATCACAACTCTAGAAGATCTTAATTAGTCATTAAGATTTAAGTAATTTAATAATTTAAATCTTATTTTGAAACAACTACTTTTCCAAGTATTCGGCTTACTTGCCCAGAAATATTGAAGTCTATTCAGTATAGATTTCCAAGTCTTTCACTCTTCCTAGTTCCTGAGAAAGGAGGAAGCAAATCTATGCTCTTAGAAAGTTCCTCTTGATGGTCTGGTGTCTCTCTGAAAGTGAGATGTCCTTTCATACTTGGCATGAAATGATTGTGAGACTTTATACTTTCCCTTCCCTCCTTTAAACTTCGGAGGAGAACGAAAGGAGGTCAGACACTTGTGAGGATAAGAACATGAAGTGTTTCCAATAGAAATCTTTTTTTTCAGCTGACGTAAGGAGTGTTTGTGTTCTGAAAAATCCTTCATGATCTGGACCAAGGATTCACCAAATAGCTTGCCCCCTGTGTATGGTAAAGACAGCAGTTTACGTTTTAGATCTAGCGATGAGGTCCAAGGACGCAGCCATATAGCTCTCCAGGCTACAGTAAGGCAAGCCATATTTTTGATGGTGAGTCTCAGAGAATCCTCAGCTGCATCGTGGATAAAATTAGTGGCAATTTTACATAGCCTGTGTTTCCTCTGCATAGTACCAGATGGGACCCATTTCTTTTTCAATCTGGCTCGTTCTTCCTCCAGCCATATTAGTAACGCTCTAGAAGCATAAGTGCAGTAGATAGATACTCCAAGCTGGGCTGCAACTAGCTTGAAAGATCTTTTAATTGCTTCCTCAACCTTTCTATCAGTAGGATCTTTAGGGACAGCATCCATATTAGCAGGCACTGATAGTACAGAATCACCAGTAATCAATGCCCTGTCTACCTGTGGCAAGGTCCCCCACAAAGCAGCTTTATCCACTGGAAGAGGATAGAGCTTATGCAGGATTGCCGGGGCTTCATGCTTTGCCTCAGGATTACCCCAAATCCTACACACAAGATCTTCCAGTGCTGAATGGATAGGAAGTGCATTATCTACCTTGCCTTCTTCAGAGTGGACAGGCAGTTCTTCTGAAGCACATTCAGATTTGGAAGATTTTAGCATTAACACTCTCTTTATATGCTTGAACAGATAATTCTGATTCTCCTTGTCAAATTTACGCAGAGGATCTGGTCCTTCTTGGTCTTCTGCAGGGGACTCAGATGACACCTCCCCATCTTCAGAGGATGACTCAACCTCCAAGGCCTTGTCAGCCTCAGATTTCTCTTTCCCAGGAGCTGTTTGGTCTTTTAAACTGTCCATATGGTCAGACTCAAAAGTTTGGGAACTGCTACCAGTTGCTTCTAGAGGAACCACTGGAACTTCTGTAATTGGTACCCTGGGATGCTTTACTGAATGGGACCTTGCCTGTGACACAGCAGTTATACTTTGTCTGGCTGCTGCCAAAGCATCCTTTAAGACAGTAGCTAGCTCAGGCAAAATTACAGATTTCATTAGTGAATTCTTTTCAGATTCAGAGAAGTGAGTAGTAGTAGAAGGTCTTACCTTCCTGTGGTAGGAGTTCTGAGTGTCTTCTGAATCTGAGCTGTAGTCTGGGGTCTGGCTGAACCAGTGCTGGAGAGAAGAATGCTGCCTTGCCAGTGAGCCATGAATTGAGTTGCAGCTGAGGGGTTGCTGGAAGGGGGATGGATGTCCTGCCTGAGAATCTGAGCCCTCCTCCGACCCCATTATCTGTTGCTCAGAAGCATGGTGTCTAGAGCCATGCCTGTACTTCCATTCGTCTGACCTTTTTTCCTCTTGGCAGAGGGAAGCAGAGACAGAACTAACCCTTGTAAGCTCTGAAGACTGCCTAGCCTTCCTCCTGGTGTAGGAGGTCTCTGATCTGGTGCTGGAGTATTGATCCCCTGACCTTCTGAAGAAGCTGGATCTGTCAGATCTCACAGACTTTGCTTTGGTAAAGACAGGGTCTGCTTCAGGAGAATTGGCACAGCTACCTTTTCTTTTCTTTTCCTTGTCCAGTTTCTTTCCTGTCCAAGCAGACATGGACCTGAAGTGATGAAAAAAGTTCAAAATACTCGAATTCCTAGATGTTTCAAAAATTACTTTTTCTTTCAAGGGAAACCCTATACCCTTTCTCCTCAAAGGAGCACTGCATCATGGCCAGTGCCATGTGAGGCAGGCAAACTGGGAACTGAGTGACTGCAGTGATGCTGGGCTGCAGAGAGGGTGCCAAGATATCTTCTGTAATCTGACTGGTTGCTGCTGCCACCCTGTCTCTAAGAAAAAAAGAGGAAAGCCCAATATAGACTAATTACACAGAAATACATTTTAGAAAGGAGTTTTTACATGGTAAATATGATGAGCTCTTTCATGTGAACAAGTCTGAAAACTTGGCATGCATCTGTCCATATTCACCAGACATAAGGTGCATAAATGCATTATAAAATAATTTAATAAAGCACTAGATGATTCTATAGATTAACTCAAGCCACTTAAATATGGAGACATAAATTCAAATCTTGTTACAGGTCACACATGAAAGCAGACTTGAATAGTCTTATTCTAGGCCTGAGAAAACATGTATTGAGGTCACATCAATGTACAATTGTGTATGAAGGTCAGTTTCTGGAACTTGTTGAAAGTTCCAAGTATCGAAAACTAGAGGAGCGATAAAGGAGAATGCGAAGTGGACTGCCTAGGAAAACTTATATAGTACTTCTTTACATCTGCTTCCAAACATTGCATCACATTTCCCTTTTTACCAGCTGAATTTAATTAATCCACATGCACTTAATGCTGTAATAAAATACTATTTTGAACTCATTAACCTAAAATCAGAGTATCGTGGGTTTTTTAAAATCAGGGAAGAATAAACAGAAACTGCTCTTTGGCATTCAGAACTGTAAATCTATTCCAGTCAGATCAAGATGCACATTTCCCTATATGAAGAAACTATGGCAACAGAGTGGATCCTTCTTGAAAAAACTGATTTTTCTATGTATGTTTGTAATTGTCACATCTTCAAAATAATAAAGAAATAAAGAGCTTTTACAATGCTTTTGACACAG